GGGAAAAAAATTAGCAAATTTGTCTTTGATTTTCATAATTGATCGCTTTAAATGTCCACAACAAATCGTTAACTCAAAAATGAGCCAACGAATTGAACATAAAGCAAAAAGAATAGGAACCATAGCTGGAAAAAATAAAATCTCGGTTCATACTTCAAGGCTATCGAAATTGGATCAATTTTTAACTACTCGCCTCCCACCGTATGCATCCGGGAGGTCGGAAGAAAACGTAGGGTTATTAGACATGACAATCAAGATTATGTCCCAGACCCGAGATATTATGGGAAATGTAGCTTTGCGGCCCACATTTCCCACATTTCTTAAGGACTTAACCTTTATAAATCACAAAGTATTTTGAGATTTATACAATTTTACCCAGGGCTTAACCTCGTGTCTAAGTTAAATAAGACAATCAGGCAACCAAACAAACGACAAGCAAGCAACCAAAACAGCCCAATAAACCCGAGACAACCGTTTTCCAGAATCGGCAAACATCGGCAACAAGGACAGCAAGCGGTAAAGGCCAATCGCCGAAAAACAAATAGGATATAATACAGCAATCAATGAATAGGAACGCACTGGGTTCGCAACGCTTATTCAAACCTACTATGACTAAGCCAAGAAAGCACAGCTAGAAAGACAAAACAAAAAAGGACGAACCGGCAAAGCAAATGGCTCAAAACAAACAAACTGTTAAAGGCGGCAGACCTACAAAGAAATGGAAAAAAGAAAAATTTACCGTCATCCCAATCGATTGTGATACCTCCATGTCCCCATCATCCAATTCAGATCTCAATAGAAAAACTCTCTCACACAAATATAACTCTCAGCAAAACGAATCGATGCCAAACAGGCGCCAGAAGAGATTGTTACAGAATGCAGACGCCCAACACGAGTAAGGGCCAGTGTATTATCTGGGAAACTCGGAAAGGCAATTCCGATCAGCCAAATCTCAGACTCCTAAAACACACAAATGCTCTTGTGTAACAATGCACTTATCGCAGTAACATATACCGAGAATACCACTCAGCAAATTCAGAAGCGGGCGCAAGCAAAGGCTCTACAATAGAATGCACAGAAGTCCAAATGGATACCACTGAACAAGCCACTGATGCATCGGATTCACAACGGGAAACCACACCGCAAATACAGGAGACAGCACTAACAGCCACGCCCAACCAGACATCTACATCAGCATGATTGCAAAAGCTAATCAGCTCCCGATTTATCATCGATCAACCGACCACACTGGATTCCTCATTATCAGAGTTTTCAATCCGCCATGAGTATTTTAAAATCAATTTTGCCAGTACGTGGAAACTCAATGACATTCCAAAGGGAATGTGAGGAGAATCCCAATTCCCAAAACTCGTCAAAGAAGCCAGCTCAACAATCGGGGGGTCAAAATCAACCGAAAAACCGAAAAATCAACACCAGAAAAAAACAAGCGAGGAGAATATCGATGCCACCACCGCAGAAAGATGACGAATCGATGGAATCAAACAGCTCAAACGAGAAGAGATGAAACATCAGAGGAAACGGAAACAAAACTGATGTATTACACCAATCTTGAAAGGGGGAAGTTTTATCCATACGGATATGTATGATATCCAATAGAGGGAAAACAACCACTGAAACAGAAAACAATTACATATATATTAAATGATGCAGTAGAACCTAATTTCTTAGTCAACATATCTTTATAGAAGTCCCACTATGAATAAGTACCTATTTAACTAAATGTCATATGAACTAATCAGTATGATTATCTGTCTCTCCTTGGCTTTCAAGCTCAAATTCAATATTTTGCTTCGATGTCAGACTTAGAATAAAATGACTGAATTGAAGTTGATGATTCTTTCTTATCTTATTTTGTAAGCCAACGCTCAGTTTGTGTCTAGTTTCATACCGTATAAAAAGCATCATCTCCGTGAATAAAACAACCCAGAATCCTAGGTCCAAGGATTTTGTGATATCTAGCAATCCTCAAGATCCATTTGCCATTGTAGTGCTGGTCCATGAAGTAGGCGTTCAATCATGAGAGCCATCTACTTCCAGTCTTGCTGTACTCTTGTTGGGTCCAGTTGGTATCTTTTTGGAGGTTTTGATTTTCCCCGTCTACACTATCAGTGTATGCGTGACAGGTTTTGTCCGGTTTTCCTCCTTAACATTTCCGCTTAATTAATTATTTCAGCTCTAAACTTTGATCCGCTTTAATCTTTTCGGAGACCGTTTTCTGGGTTACCTTCTTCATCGCTTGAGCTGCCGCCATTTCTTTGTCAGTCTGAGACATGGCCGTCACAATCGATTCCTCTCGGTTCTAAGGGAAAATATCTTTTCGACTAGCTCATCGCTTTCGTGGCTACTTTTTTACTTATCTTTTTTTGGCTGCTTTGATAGCTTTGATAGCAACCTTGTGTTTGGAATAGTTCTAATTCCCTATCGCTTCAACGAGAACAGATCAGATCATCTTGAAATGTTGTAAAGTTCGCCCGGAAGAACATTCCGACGAAACATAAAGCTAGATCCTAAAACGATTGGCTAGCGTTTAGTTAGAGCTTTGCATGCTTTTAACCGTCTCTACATTAGCCAATTCAATGTGGTTCTCGCAACATCGGGTCGACAAAATTGTTAGTGCTCAAAGGCTATCAGCCGAACCGCGCAAATTAACTTAGCTACATATGAAAATAGTGAGCTGTATCCTGAAAATGAATACGTGTCCTGAACTCGAAGTTTGATGTAAAACAATAAGCTCAGGCCATTCTGGGAAGCTAAAAGTTGGTAAGATTACAGTTATGGATCGCAACTCCGGACCCTTCCAGTTTCTTCAATATTCGTGAAGATGCGTCTTCTTCACGACTAGGAAGGTTTGCAATTACTCCCGTCAGCCTTCCTAATCCACGGGATATGTCCAGTAACGATTGTACCTGTACAATTGTTACACTTCGGAGCGCATCTCTTCCTCGAATATCAATAAACTTCGTTTCAATTATTTTAGGTTTTTTCGGGGAATCTCTAGTAGCAAAACTCGTGGTTTTGATTTTCGCGGTTTTCAGTTGTCGCAAAAAAAAACAAAAATTGTTACGTATCATGGACGCTCAGATCGAAATTTTGAAAATGATCACTTCAATCGAAATTGACTTTTTCCAATTTTTTTTACAAATAACGTCACTAATCGTCATATTGAACGAATCGTTCAGTCAATTTTCCTAAATCTGACGGCATTTTGATTGTATGGCACATGTCCCTCCTGGGAAAAGTAGAAGACTTTGTCCCAAACTTTGCGGCCTCTACAATACTCAGAGAAGTCCTTTGGTTCCTTTTTCTCTTGACTGGGAAAATGGCCTGGACTGTTCATGCTTTTTCGCGAAGTCGCAAGCTCGGCTTTGTTGGACCTGACGCTGTCTCGTCAATACCATCATTTCATTTGATCAATTTTTAGGTGGTATATAAATCAACCGAAAAAGCGTGATTGTTGTATATTATTTATGTAACAATTATGTAACAGTTACGAAAGTTATGCAAACTAATTCATATGATATAATTTTTTGGCTGGCCTATATTCTCCCCTTATTTTTGGTTGGTTTATACCTCGGCTGGTTTATTTACTCTCAATTTTTACCCGCAATCCGGTTGTACACTAGTATTGAAGTAAGAATCTTCAACTTTATTGAACCAGTTCCGTAGAGTTCATTCTGCGATCCTCTGATAAATGACAGTTGCCTATTGACCAACTTTCCTAGAAGTGCCAGCAAAGTGCGAACTAATTCCCAAACCCATGAACAAAGGCGATGAACTTAGGCGATGCTGAAGCTTTGGCTCCTCATTGTTTCTAGCGAATAAAATTTACTTCGGAAACAATCCAAGACGTCTCGAATCGTCAATTTTCATGAAGTTTAAGGAGTATACAAAGTGATATCTTGGGAATGCTTACTTTTTTGATAAATTAGAAGTTCATTATAACTGCGTAGTTTAGCAAGTGTATTTTTCGATCTCAGACTTTTTTTGCAAAGTACAAAAAAAGCGTTTTAAATAGTCTGTATTCTGCAAAACTAGAAAAACTTTTCATTTTTTTATTTTGAGCTGACGACAGCAATTTCTACTAGATCCATCTTGAAAAATATCGTTATGCAAAAACTGATTCTTCGGATCTACATCTCATTTTTCAGATTTGAATTGTATATTAAGTAGACTAATTTAACTGTGACCGAATTTTTTGAAAAAAAACTGGCTCAATTGAAAAAAACCTTATGACTAAAACTTTATTACCGATTATTAAGCCAATTTTTTCACAATCATAATTATTGAAGGTTTATAATCGTTTATAGTATCTTTTTTTGCCAAGAAAATGTCACGCGAAGATTTTTACATTTTTTATATAAAATTTTCACTTGAACATTACGGAGCCAAATTGTGCACAATTTTTTGTCTGTATTTTCCTGGATTCCAGAGACAAAACTTTAAAAATGATAAAAAAAAATTTGTCGGAACAATCAAAAGAAATGAAAGAACAAAAGAAGAACAAAAGGAGCGTCCTTGTTGCTGAATTCGCTTACAATTCACAAAATACACAGTTTGGCCTCTTAATGAAAAGTTGATATTTTTCTGATGTTAACCTAATAGAATTTTTGTTAACATTTTTCCAAAGGTTAAAAAATAGAGGCCTTGCCACACTTTGGTTCATCTAAACACAAAATTTTATCACGAAATGAAAGTGTCATAGAAATCATTCATATTAAATGAAAAACTCCCGCAGTAGGTGAATGTTAACTCTTCCAGAAAAATCTGAAAACAAAAAAAACTGTGTTTATAACTTGGTGGTTAAAAAAACTACAAGTACGCATCATGAAACAACTCTAATCGAGAAGAAATGAAAAAACGAAAAACATTAATTTGAAATGGGTTGAAAACTGTTAAAACGTTTTTCTCATTTTTCACATAAGCCAACCTCTGTGAAAAGCATAACCGATAAGCTATTATGATGCAAGCTCAAAGACAAAAAGATCAAATAAAATGAACTATAATCGATTATAAGCAAATAAAATAGGTTTTTGTGCATAAGAAACATAGAAATTGGAATAAAAATAATCGATTCTAATCGATTATGATCGATCATAATTGATTTTAACTGAATCGAAAACCCGACAGAGTAATAATTGATTATAATTGATTATAAAAGTTTATAACTCATTGTATATTTTTTTCAAAGTGGTGATTATAATCAATTATTAAGTAATTGTTATAGAATTTCTCTCAATTTTAGTAAAACTGTTTTTAAAATTAAGAAATTAACACAAAAAATGGATGCGGGTAATGAAGTTCCCAAAACGCGATTTACGTCTAGTGTCCAAACTTAGAAAATTATTTGCGCAACCTATTATATAACAAAAATTACATTGCATTTACGGAATGACATTTTTTGAGGTCGCGCAAAAGTCTTTCTATCAAGTCTCGATAAGTCAGGACATAATTCGAGATGGGAAAATTCAACAATGTTAAATTAAACACAAATTCGATGAAATTAGTGATTTTAATGAATAAATACTACATCAGTGGGAATACAATAACTTTAACAATTAGTTTGCGTTTATAATCTATGAAAAAATCGCCTCGTGAACAAATTGTTATTTAATTCACATGCATTTGCTGACACATAACTACATAATGTCTCAGTTCAAAAACGGAGTGCTTGTTTTTGATTAGGTCTATCGCTTTTCATCGACGATGTATTTTTTTCATCTGGACGATGTTGAAGTTTTGGACGATACTGAAGTTTTGGAAGATGCTGAGGTCATGGACGTTATTGAGTTTTGGCGAGATTTAGATGGACGGTGCTCGGGTGGCACAATTAGTATGGGCAAGTGGGCGTGGTGCAGGATGTAGTCGGACACTGAGCCGAGCACAGTTCGTCTCACTTTGCCCATACCTCGTGAGCCAATCACAATCAAGTTCGCGCTTTTCTCCTAAAATGTGTTAGCATACAGACTTATACATCTGAAAGTTAAACATTAAAGTTGTTGTACAATAACTTTTCTGTTAGTCAACTTTTGTGCTTTCCAATATCTATTTTATTAGTGCTTTCCTAAGAACTTATTTTTAAAGTTCCAAATATAATATTCAACATTTCCATGAAAAATTTACAAAATATAATGCACAGCAAAAAGCACAAAATTAAGTATATTGAAAACTATTCAGTCTTTTGACAACGTGCTCCTGACACTCTACTTTTGACCATCACCTTCCAAAAATTGATATAGATACTCGTATTTAAAAAAAAACAATAAAAAGATGGGATTCAAGTGCGTTTAGCGTTTTGGGTTGTTTAGAGAATAAACTTTGAAATCGTGCAAATCTTTTCCCTGTCAAGACATGAAATCAAAAAAGGCATCAAACATGGCAAGAAACAAACTACTCCTCTTAATTGGCGTCCTAAATTTTTGGAAAAAAAAACAATTACAACAGCAGTTAACGAAACTGACTTTCAATTTAAGTTCTAAATCTCACTCAAACCAAAATAGATTTCTTTTAAAAGCCGCAACGAGACATTATTATTGTTCCAATCTGAAAATTTTTGGTTTCAACAGTTTTTTCTACTCTTGGTACTTTTGAACGCCCAATAGAAAACAGGTATCTTCGATTGTTTTGATGAATATTTGGGAAATAAAAATTTGCCAATTTGGTCGGAATAATGGACCAAGATTTTAATATTTTGATGCCCATTACGTAAACGCTTTTAAAATAGCGCGATAAGAGTTTCCGCTATCAAAAATGTTACAAATTGCCTCAGCCAATTGCATTTTTAATTCCAAATTAGTTCTCAATTTAGAAAATAAGTTTTTTTTTGGCTGCGGAAAGGGTCAGAGAAACAAATTAATTAAAAAACTTCAAAACTATCAGGTTCATGAATTTAAACCGAAGAGATTTGAAACGAGTTGAGGCGCAGTTCTAACATCCAAAATTTCGCTGCACGAGAAGTCCAGTGTGAAATGAGTTGAGGCGCAGTTCTAACATCCAAAATTTCGCTGCACGAGAAGTCCATTGTGCTGGTTGCATGTAAATTGATTGATTGCCGTAACTGGCCAGAATTGCATTGCAATCCGTTTTATACAGATAACAAGACTGCTCGTATCAGGGTGAAGCCCTTAGTGTTCCGACTGCCTTTTAAGGTTTATGGAGCAGTAATAACATAAAAAATTAAATGAAATACAAAAAAATGAAATCCCCCCACACGCCATTTAAAGTAAAAAAGAATATATTTCGCTCCTTGTAACAAATCAATTATGGCAAATAAACTTCTTTCAACCAATTTGAACAATTTCTAAGACGGATTAAATCTCGCCTACGCGTTAATAGCGCGAAATATATGGCGCGTTAATTGTCCCAATTTGGCCAAAATGGCAATCTTTAAACCCTCATAACTTTACGAAAAATGATCACAGGTGAAATATATTTTCAAATATAAGCTCAGGACAACAATAACTTTCGAATGATATAAAAAAATTCCGTCAAAAATGGCTAGTTAAAAAGTCGAAATTTGTCTGAAGAAAAAAACCCACCCCGAGCACAAATATTCCGTTACTTTCGTATCGAAAGTCGGAACAATAAAGCACAGACCTAAAATAAACGATTATACAGACAACAAGACTGCTCGTATCAGGGCGACTGTCTTTCAGGTCTATGAAGCAGTGTTTGCTTTTAAAAAATGATGAATTTTTCCAAAACAAATTACAAAAATTTCGAGTTTTTTGAAATCATCCCACCACATGCCATATAAAAAAACAAAGTGATAGAGTTGGCTCCTAATAACGAAAAAAAATTATGACAAATAGCTTTCAACCAGCTTGGAACAATTTCCATGAGGGTTTGAGTCCCCGCTTAGGCGTTAATAGTGCGAAACATATCACGCGTTAATTATCCCAAATTGGCTATATTGGCAATCTTTAAACCCTCATAATTTCAATTTTTGGCTGATACCATACAATTTTGTCCAAAAATGGGTAGCTAAAAAGTCAAAACCTGTCTGAAGAAAAAAACCCACCCCGAGCACAAATATTCCGTTACTTTCGTATCGAAAGTCGGAACAATAAAGCACAGACCTAAAATAAACGATTATACAGACAACAAGACTGCTCGTATCAGGGCGACTGTCTTTCAGGTCTATGAAGCAGTGTTTGCTTTTAAAAAATGATGAATTTTTCCAAAACAAATTACAAAAATTTCGAGTTTTTTGAAATCATCCCACCACATGCCATATAAAAAAACAAAGTGATAGAGTTGGCTCCTAATAACGAAAAAAAATTATGACAAATAGCTTTCAACCAGCTTGGAACAATTTCCATGAGGGTTTGAGTCCCCGCTTAGGCGTTAATAGTGCGAAACATATCACGCGTTAATTATCCCAAATTGGCTATATTGGCAATCTTTAAACCCTCATAATTTCAATTTTTGGCTGATACCATACAATTTTGTCCAAAAATGGGTAGCTAAAAAGTCAAAACCTGTCTGAAGAAAAAAACAACCTCGAGCACAAATATTCCGTTACTCTCGTTATGAAAGTCGGAATAATAAATCAAAGACCTAAAGAAAATATAACCAAAAAATTAATTTTGACCGACTCTGTTTTGATTTAAATCCAATTTTGACAACTGTTTCTGATGTCATTTTCAAACAGATTTAAGTAACAATCATTTTCAATTTGAATCGTTTTCATCCTATTTTTATTTTATTGCTCAATAGAGATATCAGACAACATTCAGATTTTCTCGCCTGGCAAACAGAAAAGAAAGAAAACGGAAATAAAAACTTAACGCATGCATTTCAATTTTCTCTTTGTTTGGCCTGAAATAATTATGAGTACAACTAATATCAACAAGACTGCTCGTATCAGGGCGAAGCCCTGAATGTTCCGACTGCCTTTTAAGTTTTATGGATCAGTAATAACAAAAAAAATTAAATGTAATAAAATGAAAAAAAATTTTCTGAAATTTGAAAGTTTTTTGAAAAAAATCATCTTCCACACGTCATAATAAGTACTAAGTATAAATTTTGCTCCTATTAACAAATCAATTATGGCATATAAGCTTCCTTGAACCAATTTGGAACGATTTCTAAGACGGATTAAATCTCGCTTACGCGTTAATAGCGCGAAGTATATCGCGCGTTAATTGTCCCAAATTGGCAAAATGGCAATCTTTAAACCACCATAACTTTACGAAAAACGATCACAGGTGAAATATCTTTTCAAATTTACGCTCAGCACAACAATATTTTTCGAATGAGATAAAAAAAAATTCGTCAAAAATGGCTAGTTAAAAAATCGAAATTTGTCTGAAGAAAAAAAAACTCACCCCGAGCACAAATATTCCGTTACTTTCGTATCGAAAGTCGGAACAAAAATCAAGTTATAAGAAAGTTTCAATTTAATGTTCAGTTGTGAAACAAAATTGAGTTTTGAACGATGATAATGAAAATGACATTTGAAGGAAACTTGCATACATTTTCATCGCCGCCGGAACCTTTAGATTTGCAAAACTTGAAAAACTTTGCCTTGAACTCAAAAATTTGCTAGTAAAATAATCCTCGAGTGACTCTTTTTCTGTAGAGTGACTCAGCTGATTTATGCTTCGGTAGATAGAGCAAATAAACAATCTCCCCCTAACACTAATTGACAAAATCAAGCGGTAAGACCTGCAAGTACTATGCTCTAATCTGATTGACTGAAAATTAATGCTTTTCAGCAAAAGAACTCTCTCTCCCCCTGTTTTGATTTAGGGGGGAAATCGTTCACTTGGTCCGACTATTTGTCTTGTTATGCGGGCTCACGCAATTATTTTTGCTCTTCACAAGCAAAAAAAACTCAAACCTAGTATTATTAAGGGGCAGATGTTATACATCGTCAAACATTTGCTACTTTTCGGGTTGTTTATATTTATTTTAGAGCTCGCCTAAAACCCTGTTTTGACCCCTATTTTTCAAAAGCACATAGAAACTTTTCCAACGTATTCATGCATGAGCGAACTAACCTTTGCGGCCTTGCAGGCGTTCTCTCCGACTTTATGGTTCTGGTCTGTGGCTTCGAACTCAACAGTGACCGGCTCATCTTCCACTAATTTCTCATACTGGGCTTTGAGACTCTCGGCTTTGTTCTTTTCGTCCCTCATCATGCGAGCCCACTCGTCTGCACCTGCCTCGCCCATCGCCATCACCTGAACAAACGTCGGCTACTGAATAACCCTGGATGACCTTCATACATGTAAGTTACGCGGCAAGTTTAGTATGACTTATATGGCAACAAACGCTTACATCCAAAGCACAACGTTGAAGTATGGGCACACGCGAACAAATTCCCCCTCTAATCGACCAAGTGAACTATCTCTCTACCCCCCCCCCCCCCCTCCCCTTAAAAGGAAGAAACAAATAAAAAAAACATGTTAAACTATTGCAAGTTAATATCAAAACTGATACAAAATACTTTAGGAGTTTTTTCCGTGTTTTCTGACAAAATTAGGTAGCGCAAATAGTCAGACAGTGTTTATTAACAAAAATTAATGAGAGGATTCACACCTCGCCCATACAGTGCTGATTTAAATTAACCGGACGCCAAAAATAAAATTAAAATTACGCCAATTATGCTGATTTAAAATTAAGCCAAAAATACCCTGTCGATCACAGACATATTTATATCAAAGTGAGCCCCTTACGAAGTCCAACAAACTTTAAAAAGCGTATATCCTGCAAAAAAAATTGCAAACCGTTTAAAAATTGTTTTTAAATAAAAGTGGGTATTTTATATAGTAAAAACGACCTTTTTTGTCCATCAAACAAAAATGAATTAACTAATACAATGTTTTGGAGAATATACACTTCTTAAAGATTGTTGAACTGCGTAAGGGGCTCACTTGGATATAATTATGTCTGTGATCGACGGGGTATTTCTGGCGTAATTTTTGATTAACTAAGAAAAGCCAAAATGACCCATTTTTGAGGTAAAATTTTTGGCCTGAATTTCGCAAATCAAGTTACACCATATTAATTCTGCTTAAATTTTAGGCAAGTTTTGTCTTCATAAATTTCCACCTAAACTCAACCCAATTTGAGAAAAAGGCGTTTTAAATTTCAAGTTTAATGCGTTTTGTCCGGTTAATTTAAATCACTGTATAAAACGGGGGTTTAAACTGCTGGCATGAACATTTGATTTGCTAAAAATAGGAGCAGCGAATCTCTTAAACTCCCCCTATCGTTACCTAGTAAAGAAAAACTAGCCAATAACTAATTCAAGCTAGAAAAGTTCAAAATGAAGTTCAAATCGGTTAAGCATTTGCAACCGGGAGAAAGGATTATTTAGAAAAAACTGGAGTAGCAAGTTTAAAATTAAAAACTGTCTAAACTTTGCCATTATCACGTTATCAAATTATGTTTTTTTCTTCAGGCAAAACCGCATTTTAATTAGAACCAGACTTTTTAGTTTGAGACAAACCTTTTTTTCTATTCATTGCTGCATTACTAAGCAAAAAAAAACATTTGAGTTCTTACTCAAAATTGAATTGTTTGTGGAACTTAAAAGTATTGAACATATTTTCTATTTCTGAAAATCTTGACAAAACATACTCAAATTACCTGAAAGAGCTGTGAGAAGTTTTCGGCTTCTACTGAAATCAGCAGTTTTTTTTTCGATTTACTTATTTTCGAAAGCATCGAGCAAAGTTCGTCGAAAAAAAAACAGAAAAATTGTACTTCTAATCCGTTACAATATTGCAGAAAAAACTTTTGTTTAATCATGTGTTAAAAAAACATCAGAGGCGTTCGCATAAACTTTTTTGAGGAATACGTTGAGGTTTAAAAAAACAAATGTATTTTTTTGGCCAACCAGTTCAAATGTTTCCAGTAATTTTGGAAGTTTTGAACATTTTTGAAAATTTGAACCAAAGTAAGAGATTGTCTTTTTATTGCAGACACTCACTCACCTCTCCCAATACAACAAATACTTAGGAAACAAATCTAAAATTGTTACTGATGACACTCCAGTTGGGTTTAAAATATCAATTTTGATAATCGAAAAACGACAAACCAAGATTGTTTAGGCATTGATGGAACTTTCTGAGATAGTGCAGAATGTTTAAGCTTGGGGGTTTTTTTATTCAGTCAATTTTGACTCTTTAACTAAGCGTTTTTGACAGAAACTGTTTTTATCTGCTGTCTAGACCTGTCATGAACAAAATTTTTATTTCTGACTTGAAATACTTTATATCTAATCAAAATTTTTGGTCAGAAATTTTTTATGAAAAGTTTACATACAGCAGGAATTTTCTTAAAATTTCGTATTTTTCATCTTATTTCCGATCACAAACAAGTCAAATCTAGGCTATTTTTAGCTAGAAAATTTTTTTGGTGGGCTTGACCTCGCAAACTGCTATTAGTTAGGCGATTGTGCTAACCGCAAGGCCACATACGTTCACAGTAGTCATAGCAACCTAATTCAGAGCAACATTTGTTCTAACAAGTGTTAATTTGCATTTTGTTGCTACGGCTATTGTGTATACCCGAAGCATGTTTATCTTGTTGTGGTTGAGCAGTGAACTGATATCTGGTTACTTCTTTCCAGAATAAGTTTTTTTTCTAAGCTAGAGAAGAAATAGATAATTTCTGTACAGAGAAAAAAGTTGAAAACTTGGCTAGAAAATCTATATAATATTTCTATCTAGAAAATATTTCTATCTAGATAATATTTCTATCTGGGTACGGGGAGCTCAAACGTAAAAAAAATTCACCTGTGTTTATTTTTTGTGACGTTATGGGGGTAATGCTAAATTGCTAAATTGGCATAATTAAAGCTTGATATACTGCGCTGTCATAACGCGCGTATGCGTCGCATTCAATCATGCCAACTTGAATTGAGGAAAAACAATTAGTCTTATTTATTGAAATGCAAGACGCTAAATACATCCTTTTGTACGTTTCATCAGCGTGTGGGAGGATAAAATGATGAAAAAAAATCGATTGTTTTCTCCAATTTTTAAATCAATTTTATGAGCAAATTTTTAAATCTTCTTGATATACGACTCATATAACAGTTGTTGTAACAAAAAACAAATCAACTTACAGGCATTGAAGGCAATTCAATTGAGTGAAAAAGGATCAAGTGATCATTTGGCTTCATCGTGTTCTCGAAGTAGAACTTGAGGGCCCGTTCCGAATGTTCCGACTTGTCAATAGGAATGAGAACACGTCTTGGTATGACTGAGCTCGAACTGCAGGTCATTGTGAAAAAGAGGCTTGAAAAGTTTTGAGAGTAAAATTAACTGTTTTAGATCGAGTTGAACACTGAAAATGGAGACCAATTTTCTAAGTCTCTGTTATCTCTGCGTCACTCAATGTTGGCTTTGAAACGAACAATGAATATCTATGATGCTTGGCAATCTTTAAGGAGTATGAGTTCTGCCTAACTATCGTGAAGTTTTTATAACAAAATATCCGAAAAATAAGAGAGATTTATTGTACCAACTCTGATAAGAAACCGAAAATCAACAAAAGCATCTGCACTGAAAATTATCTAATTCATCTCCAAATAACAGTTGTGAATCTTTTGTTCAACTTTATTTGAGCTGAGATATAAGAGAAGACATGCCGAGTTTAAAGATGAACTTTCACTGTCAAAATGTTACATTCTTTGAAGACTTTGTGGCTGCCTCGTGATCAAATAAAACTACTCCCATTTCAGATTCACCTCATATTCGCCCCTGACTTAATCCTTGTAGATTAAACTTCACCCAATTTTGTGATAATATGACCATGCGTTCGCCAAGTCACCAAAGTTTGCTCATTTTGGGCTTACATGGACTGATTTGTTTCTATAAGACGCCAAAAGTTTTTCAGCATAGTGTCAGGGCGTTCCTGGAAATTCAAAAATATATATAAAATATGAATGTGGAGAATTCAAAAAGTATACAGTGCTGATTTAAATTATCCGGACAAAACGAACAAAATTTGAATTTTCAAACGCGTTTTTCTCAAATTGGGTTAAGATTAGACAAAAGTGAAGAGAACAAAAGTTGCTTAGAATTTCGTCAAAATTAATATGGTGCTATTTCTTCTCCGAACTTCTCAACCAAAATTTTAACCCAAAAATGGGTCATTTTGGCTTTTTTCAATTAATCAATAAATACGCTGAAACTTCTTTATTAATTGATGAAAAAATTACATCACAAGAAGCCTCCTACATAGCCCAACAAAGTTTAAGAAGGGTTAAATCTCCAAAAAATAGCGAAAATTGTTTAAAATTTGTTTTTAAACAGAGATTCAGGGTTTTATTTAGTAAAAATCACATTTATTGACAATCAAGTAAAAACTTTTTTTCTTATACTGTTTTCTGGAGATTTAACCCTTCTTAAACTTTGTTGGGCTATGTAGGAGGCTTCTTGTGATGTAATTTTTCATCAATTAACAAAGTAGTTTCAGCGTATTTATTGATTAATTGAAAAAAGCCAAAATGACCCATTTTTGGGTTAAAATTTTGGTTGAGAATTTCGGAGAAAAAATAGCACCATAATAATTTTGACAAAATTCTAAGCAACTTTTGTTCTCTTCACTTTTTGTCTAATCTTAACCCAATTTAAGAAAAACGCGTTTGAAAATTCAAGTTTTGTTCGTTTTGTCCGGATAATTTAAATCAGCACTGTATTAGAGCTTGGAGGTTAAAAAAATGTGATTACAAAGACTTTTTCTGTTTCATAAAAACGAAAAAATAGGAAGCCGAGTAATTCTGAAACAGCACTGCTGACTACTCGAGTAGGCTCTTTCAGGACCAAGAATGAATGCTCATTTTCATGAAAAAAGTCGGTTACCCCCCACCTCAAGGATTTGACCAGCTGCCGACCAAAGAATCCCCGTTTTTACTATTTCGAGAAATCAATTTTCGGCTGACGGATCCTGTAGACTAATTTTAAGGGGGGAGAGCGTGCCACCCAATTTTTTTGGTCAAAATTTTCTAAAAAAGTGCCTAAAAATGCCTTTTTGGCCTGTTTTTCAAAAAATTTTGGCCAAAACAGTGTCTTTTTGGTGCTTGGGAAGAGCTCGGAAAACCAATTTGGTCGACCTAAAAAAATTTCGGCAAAATTTTTGAATTTTTTTTGAAAATCCGCCTCCCCCTCGAGAACATCCTAGATCTGCCCCTGAAATCTATCATAAAGACCTCCTTATCGATGTGATAAAATTTTCTGGCTATCACAATTGCATAATTGTCCCAAACCAGTTTTTGTCTGCAATAACTTGGTAGATAACTTTTTCTTCCAAGTCCTGAAAAAAACTTTCTAAAAACTTTATTTAGAAACTTCCTAAGATGCTATATTACAATAGGGGGGCGATTCAAGTTAAATAGCTGGATTTCTCTTTATAATACTTCGAAAAGTTTTTATAATTTGATTCAAAAGCCAAACTTTTTGGGAAAATGAAAGTTTGATTTTTTGAATAACATTTAACCTGGTAATTTTTATTTAAAAAAACTATCTCAGTAGCATGTACAATTGATTGAAAAAGAAATGACAATATTGTGCATTATATTTCATGAATTTAATACATGCACTATACTCAAAGTTCGAAAATACCGCCTATTGTAGTAACATATCACCACTTCTTAAATAGCAACTTCATTGAATCCAAAACTAAGCAAAGTTTCTTTTAATTCAGCGTTTTGTATGTATCATTACGAAGCCAAACTGTGCAGTAAGTAGGCGCGCAATTTTGTGTCTGTATGTTCCTGGATTCCAGAGACAAGCTTTTAAGCATGCTAAAAAGTTTATCGGAACGATCAAAGGAAACGAAAGAACAAAAGAAGAACAAAAGGAGCTTCCTTGTTAAAACTCACAAAATGCACAGTTTGGCATCGTAATGATTCGGGTCGACAGCGCAGAATATATCTTTACTGCAGATCTATAGCATTGAGTTTGTACTGTTTGCCCATTAGACTACGGTAACTTTTTTAATAGGAGGTTTACTCCGACGAAAAAAAAGTTATAAAAAACTTTCAATCAATTTTAAAAACCACTTGAATTGTGAAAGAAATTAAAATATCATTGTTTTCACCAGTTCAATACACGGTGAAAAGCACGCTTATTCAAAAAAAGCATACTTTTTTAAACAAACGTTAAAGTAGAGAGCGCGTCAACTACATACTTTCACATGGGCATGCTGCCCCAGTAAAATTTGCAATCCTTATGCAGGAAAAATGCACGATTTTGCGTTTTGATAGAACCTTAGTTTTGAAATGTTTCAGCTGGCTGAGGAATGATCAGTGCTTTTTGACGTTTCTATTGTATAGACTCTAGCAAATTATCAGCTATGTTTCAGAGTGGATATTGTTGAATTACGCGATGGAATCATAACATTAAAAATTTTCAAAATAGATAGAAAAGAGTTTGAGTTTGAAAAACTATTTTTGTAGATAATCAAAAAATTTTCACCGCTAAATATCCCAAATATAAAAGGCACGTAGCGAGAGACGCACCGCTAATTAGGTCCAATAATTTAGCACTTAGCATAGCGGTAAGGCGTTCACTTTAAATTCGTCAGATCGTGTATTAGATCCTATGAGATGACAATCATAGTGCGTGAGGACGAGTTGTCACTTGACCTAAAGTTTCAGGTTTACCACATTCTGATATTCTGATCCGTTTCGGCTGCAATAATAAAGCCACGTGAAGGTTATAGACGCAAAAACAAACAGCCCTGAGTTGCAAGAAAAACTTCGCTCAACAAAATAACACAGTCTGGAATGTGGGGAGATAATACAAATGGACTATCATCGATAGGACTGTTGAAGCCGACTGATAGCTCCTCCGCGATTCGCATGAACCATATTTTTATAAACATAGAATCCTATTGGCAAAAACACATAAAAAAATTCTAAAACTCACATATGCGACATGGTTAAATAGTGGGTAATCAGTGAAACTTGTACGGGGTTAAAGGAATGCAAATCTTGCAAGCGATTCTTGCAAGGTTCTTACAAGATTTGTATTCCTTTGCAAACATCCAAGTGTACAAGGGTAATCAGCGCTCTTGAAATCAACGCTCTATAGAACTCAAAAAATTACGGCAAACAATTTTAAAATGATTTTCGTGCTTAGATTGAACTTATATGATTAGAAAAAAAAGCTTGAGGTTATATGAAAAGAAAAAATTACAAAGCACAATCTTCTTCATTCAACTTTTGTGTTTAATCAAAACAAGACTGCTCGTATATTGGGGCAAAGTCCTGAAAATTTGGAATGCCCATCATTTTTGATCTGACAATTTTGAGTATTAAGTGTTGAAACTTGAGCCGTTTGTGAAATTAGTTTAGCTTGCTCAATTCAATTTTGAACGATTATAATTTGTGTTACGCTTTCAGCGCATAGGATTTAAGCGAGCAGCTGAGATTGACTCGTTTTAGAGTGCCTATGGAGTCAGGTATATGAAACGGAGTCTACCTAAGCTGCTTGCTATCTGAGCTTAAAATTGATGACCTTATTCACGCAGCCGCCAAAATTGGGGCAAATGTTAAAAATGAACTTCAAACACCAGTTTTCAGGGCTACTGCATCAGAACAAAGTAGGTCTATGGTATTTTTGTTCCTACTTTTGAAGAAAGTGGAGAATATATATGGTCGGCGTCGTTTTTCAAGAACTTTTGCCGAGCGGAGGGATTGATCCCATGATCGTCGAGATCGAGGGCGAGCACAATAATATTCTATTTTGCGAGCTCTCGTTCTCGAATATCATGGGGTCATTCGCGCAACCCAACAACGGTTCTTTTAGAAACTGGTCTGTAAAAAAAACAACACCGAGCACATCATGTATTCCTCACTTTCCTCAAACTGGGAAAAAAGCATCGACTTACTTTTTGTATTTTGAGTCATGGGCGGATCTAGGATTTTCTCGAGGGGGGCTGGGTTTTCAAAAAACTTTCGAAAAGTTTGCTGATCTTTTTTTAGGTCGACCAAATTGATTTCTCGAGCTCTCCCAAAGCACTAAAAAGGCCCTGTTTTGGCTAAATTTTCTGCGCCGCAGACAAAATTTGGATAAAAAAATTGCTTTTTTTCGGCGCGCATCCCCACCTCAAAATTAGTATACATTGGCGGCGAAGCGCCTTTAGAAAAAACTTATGGTCCGTCACCAAAAAGATATTTCAAAATAGTACAAAGGGGGACCCTTTGGTTAGGCAGGGGGAGAGCGACAAAAACTCCTTTAGAAAAATTTTAGGGTCCGTCACCAAAAAAGGATATTTCAAAATAGTACAAAGAGAGGACCCTTCGACCGTGCTCGAGGTATGCTTCGACCGTGCTCGATGTATGTTTCTACCGTGGTCGAGAAATGTTTCGACCAATCTCGAGGCATGTTCCGACCGCGCTCGAGGTATAATTCGACAGTGCTCGAGGTATTTTTCCGCTGTGTTCAAGGTGTGTTTCGACAGTGCTCGAGATATTTTTCCGCTGTGTTCAAGGTGTGTTTCGACTGTGCTCGAGGTGTGGTTCGACCGTGCTCGAGGTATATTTTGACCACCGTCCTCGAGTTATGCTGCGACCAAGATCCAGGTATGTTTCGACCGTACTCGAGATTTTTTTCCACCGTTCTCAAGGTATGTTCCGACCGT